CTCATCTAAGCGGTAGTCAACCTGTGAAATGCGACCGCTTGACTCCGAGTTTTCTCTTTTTTGATGAGCGGACCTGGACAGACATGTAGGCAATAGGGTTTTGGGGCCTGTATGGCTATGAAAGACAGCCCATGGACTTCCATCAAAAAGCAGGGGCAACCGCAGAATTACAACATAGGGTTTGGGGTTTAGGAGTCAGTCAGGGCTAGGGGCTGCGGCTTAGGGGACCTGCAGACCGGCTGCTTGTGGCGAGCCAAGTACAAGGACATTCACCCCACAACCCGCGCAGGAAGTTGTATCCCGAGAGCTTCACCTCGACACTGAAGCCATCACAAAGTTTGTAAGAACATAGCGCGAAAGACGCGAGGCTTTCGCCGCGACAAGGGGCGCGCCAAACCCCCTTTTTTCTTTCGGAAAAAAAGCTTCACCTTTGCCATCACGAGTCTCAAGGTTCTACCCACCCGAAGCCCTGAACAGTATGCCTGCAGCATGGAAACAGGCCTTCCAAAAAATAAAAGTGTACATATACATATATGTGTATATATATACATATATTTATACACATACATACACATAAAGGGGTTTAGGGTTTAGCTCAGAGGTTGTGCTTTGGTTGACCAGAACAGCTTTCAGATGTGTGGTGCTCCGTCTGAGGGCCTTCTGTTGCGGTGTACGAAGCCCAAGAACGCCCAAGCCGCAAATCTTAACCTACCCTAAACCCTAAACCCTAAACCCTAAACCCTAAACCCTAAACCCTAAACCCTCAACCCTACTTGGAAGCCCTTTTGACCTTCGCATGTAGGGTTCGTAAGTTGGGCCATGGGGATTACTTCTAGCGTTTCTAGGGGATACGAAGTAACCTTGCTAAACCCCCCCCCCCCCGACATAACAAAAGACTCTTCCCCTACAAGGGCAATAAGGGGATGACTTACTTCTTCTTTGTTTGGGGTTCTTAAGCAAATAATGGAGGGTTTGAGGTTTAGGGTTTAGGGTTTAGGGTTTAGGGCTTAGGGTTTAGGGTGTTGGGTTTAGGGTTTTAGGTTTAGAGCTACCAAGCAAACCCAGATCACAGCAAGCCCAGCTCCTGCCATGAGGAGGAGGAGGATGACCTGGTGCGCTGCTCAGAGGCAAAGCATTCCGAATCAATGCGCTTTGACTTCAGTATTTAAGGGTTCTAGGGGGTTTAGGGTTTAGGGTTTAGGGTTTAGAGTTTAGGGTTTAGGGTTTAGGGCTTAGGGTCTAGGGTCTAGGGTCTAGGGTTTGGGGTCTAGGGTCTAGGGTTTAGGGTTTAGGGTTTAGGGTTTAGGGTTTTGGGCTTAGGGTTTAGGGTTTGGGGTTTGGGGTTGGGGTTTAGGGTTTAGGGTGTAGGGTCGGTCACGATTTTGGAAGCGGCTGGAAGTGTGTTTGGCATTCTGACAATGCACCGAACCTTGAACGCGAAAACCCGAAAACCCACGCTTCAGCCCTGCACCCCAAGAAACCCTAAACCCTAAACCCTAAACCCTAGACCCTAAACCCTAAACCCTAAACCCTAAACCCTAAACCCTAAACCCTAAACTCGAGTTCTCGCCTTGCCACGGGCCTGTATCACACGTATCACACGGGCGGCCAGCAAGGCACGCTTTTCGGGCCTTGTGGTGCTTGTCTGTAAGTCCCAGTCAGACCACAGGTCTACCCTAACCCTTAACCCTTAACCCTTAACCCTAAACCCTAAACCCTAAACCCTAAACCCTAAACCCCACACTCCCACTCCTGAACCGAAGGCTTCACCATTCTCGCAACAGTCGTCACTTTTGGAGCCTCGTATCCTCTTTTCGTTCAAAGGAGCCATGGGAGAATGGTCAGAGACTCTGAACCACAAATCAGAAACAAAGGCAGCTGCCAGCAGAGGCAATGCCGGCGAGCTGAAGGAGGAACGACCCCTAGACACCGTGCTGTTCATGCTCTGGGTTGTGGAGGGTTTCTGGAGGGGGGGCGCTGGTTGGTGAAGGGTTCCGGAGAGGGCTCGGTGCAGGGTTTAGGGTTTAGGGCTTAGGGCGTGGGGTTCAGGGTTTAGGGCTTAGCAGCCATGAAATTCCCTAACCCTTAATCCCTAATCACCTCAATCCCTAAACCCTAAACCCTAAACCCTAAACCCTAAACCCTAAACCCTAAACCCTAAACCCTGGGGTGCCTCGTTGCCTCGGACTGCGCCGCCTGCGAGATGCTGGGAACCACCTGCGCGACATTCAACTGAAGGGCTTGCTTGGAGGATCCTGGGTAGTTTGCAGGGCTTAGGGTTAGGGTTTAGGGCTTAGGGTTTGGGGTTTGCGGTTTGGGGTTTTGGGGTTTAGGGTTTAGGGTTTAGGATCTAGGGTTTAAGGTAGTTAGAAGTAAGGCTAGAAGCACCCTAAACTGGGTCATGAGTCATAAGTATAGCTGCCATACTTTTCGCCCTACTTATAGCTTATAACTACTAAGGCTCCCTCAAGTACACCTTCGTAAGGGCCTCAGTCCTACGGGTGCCTTTGCAGGGGAGAGTAGTGGCACTTAGGGCATCTTGACCATAGTATGTGAGCTCTTGTTTTGCAGGTTTCGGTAATGGTGTTGGGTGCTCTGACCTTCAGGGTTCGAGAACATCGCCATTTTTCGTGTGGGGTGCACGATTGGAAGAGTGTTCCGCGATAGTTGCCGAAGTCTGGACCATACATGTACAACCAACTGCTTGTATGGTCAATGCACGCACGGTTCAGCTGCTTGCATCGGACTCCAGTCTAATGTTTTGGCAATCAGGATGCGTGCCGAAACCCTAAAACCTAAACCCTAAAAAGTAGATGTGTATATATATATATATATCATTATATATATATATACAAGATATATCGCTTGAAAATGACGCATTCAACCGGTTAAAATGGAATGGGAACCCTCTACCAGGTATCCTCCCTGCCTCCCCGTCGGGTCTCCTCAGAGGCTCCCAAACCCTACTTGGAAGCCCCTTTGACTTCGTAAGTAGGCTTAGTAAGTTGGGTCAGAGGGATTGTTAAAGGGCAAGCGGATACTAAGCAGATTTGCTAAGTCAACAGGGCTCCCAAGCTACCCACGGGCCTTGCTTACCAGGCTCTGACAGAGCAAGTCGGGCGCACCACCCATGGCGAACCTTGATGGGGATTCTAGTACGCCCTAATTTTAACCCCTATTAAGGGCCCTAGTCCTTTGTAGGGATTATAGTACCTGTCCTTAATAGGGATTCTAGTACCCCCTATGTTAACCCCTATTAAGGACTGTTAAAAAAAAAGTTGAACATCCCAACTCGTGGCCATGCTTTTGAGCTTGGCAGCCCGCACCCCTGTGTCCTATAGTGACCTATAGGACAACATGAGAGGGGTTCCTAAATTAGGGTGCCGCATCGGGGTCCTTCTGAAAAGGGAATCCTATTTGGGGATCTAAATTGGGGGCGTCCAATGTTCGTAAACCCCCATGCGAGAGAGTGCCCTTGTGGCCTTTAATACAGGGTCAAGGGGCCCCTTAAAGAAGGGGATAATAACAGCACCACGGGGAACCATCGTGATCTATCCTACACCCCAAACCTTAAACACTAAACTTGGCCGAAATCACAAAGCCCAAGCCTCGCATGTTCTTAGGGGGTTTAGGGTTTAGGGTTTAGGGTTTAGGGTTTAGGGTTTAGGGTTTAGGGTTAAGGAAAGGTCCAGCTGTAGGGCTACAAGGTTGAGCGCGTACTTCTCTGATGTTGCCGACATCACCAGAACACGTGGCTTGCCCTGTTGCAGGCCCACTTCAAGGCATAACGGTGGCTTGCACGTGCGTGAACCAGAAATGGAACACGAATTGAATCAACCCCCCCGCCCATCTGCCCCACTAAACCCCAAACCTCTCGAAACCCTAAACACTAAGCCCTAAACGCTAAACTCCTTCCCAGTCGACCACGGAAGGCAACCAAAGATGCTGAAACAGCTACTCTAAATTATGGCCTCTTTGGGGCGTGAGAGTTTAGGGCTTAGGGTTTAGGGATTAAGCGGCCCCTAGAATACCATGTAGGGTACCCGGAAAGAGACCATAATTTTAAGAACTGACCATGTGAGCTTGCGAGGACCTCCGAAATTGGGCAAGAAAACTATTGAGATTCAGATGCTACTGCCGCTCTTCGGATGGCATGAATAACTTCCCAAAAAAGGGCGTACATCACCACCCCCAAACACTATAGTTCTTAGTTCTTATTCTAGGACACCGGCCCCCCACCCACCCAAAAAATGTAATACCCGAAGTCTACCAAAACCCCCGGCCTCAAGGCCGAAAGGTACAGGGCCTGCACCTCAGTGGCTCAGTTGTAGGGTTTAGGGGTTTAGGGGTTTAGGGGTTTAGGGGTTTAGGGGTTTAGGGGTTTAGGGGTTTAGGGGTTTAGGGGTTTAGGGGTTTAGGGGTTTAGGGGTTAGGGTTTAGGGTTTAGGGTTTTGGGCTTAGGGTTTAGGGCTTAAGGTTCAGGGTTTAGGGTGAAAAGAACTGCAGCCTTTGGGCTGTAGGTAAACCCTCTAAAACCTCGCTAACCCTAAAGACCCTAAACCCTCTTAACCCTAAACCCTAAACCCTGTTACCCCTCTTAACCCTCTTGACCCTGACCCTCTAAACCCTCTAACCCCTCTAAACCCTCTAAACCCTCGAAACCCTCTAAACCCTCTAAACCCTCTGAAACCTCCAAACCCTCTGAACCCTGCAAACCCCTCAAAACCCTCCAAACCCTCTAAACCTTCTAAACCCTTTGAACCCTCTAACCCTCTAAACCCTCTTAACCCCCTTGACCCCAAACCCTCTAAACCCTCCTAACCCTAAACCCTTTGAACCCTAAACCCACGAAACCCTAAACCCCCCTAAACCCTCTTAACCCTATAACCCTAACCCCTAAACCCTCCAAACCCTCAACCCACGAAACCCTAAACCCTCTTAACCCTAAACCCACGAAACCCTAAACGCCCTAAACCCTCTTAACCCGCTAACCCTAAACCCTAAAAACTAAACCCTAAACACCGAATCGGCACCCAAGGAACCTCGAGATGCCTCTCCTCCACGGAGGAGGAAGGGTTCCAGGATGCGAAGGCCAGCATGAAGAGCTTCCTTAAGCAGAGGGTGTAGTTTAGGGTTTAGGGTTTAGGGTTTAGGGTTTAGGGTTTAGGGTTTAGGGTTTAGGGTTTAGGGTTTAGGGTTTAGGGTTTAGGGTTTAGGGTTTAGGGTTTAGGGTTTTGGGCTTAGGGTCTACACCCTAAACCCCAAACGGGTGACCAGAATTGAGACGAGCCGCTCGCCGATCTGCGGATCCGCGGAGCCGGAGGGCAGGCGCCTGCACGCGGCCTCGATGGCCCGTGCGTAGGGCAGCTCCGTGAGCTCCTGGGTCGACGGTTTAGGGTTTAGGGTTTAGGGTTTAGGGTTTAGGGTTTGGGGTTTGGGGTTTAGGGTTTAGGGTTTAGGGTTTAGGGTTTAGGGTTTAGGGTTTAGGGTTTGGAGTTCAGGGTCAAGGGTTCGGGGCTCAGAGTTTGGGGCTAAGGGTCTAGGGTTTGGGATTTGGGTTTGGGGTTTTAGGTTTTCGGCAGGTGGCAGGCTCTCGTTTTGGACATTTTCTTCCAGAACTTGTTGAGGGGAGGCAGGGATGCTGTTTATGGACAAAGCAGACCTAAACCAAAAACTCGTCCTTAAACTCACCAGACCGTACTCCAGAAGGTGAAGGGGGGGGGGGGGGCAACTGTTTCAGCTTCAAGTTCAAGTCGACCTTCCATTGACAGAGTCGAGGTTGGGGCTGGGGTTGGGAGGGAGGGGTTGGGAGGGGCGGTTGGGGCAGGGACGGGGTTTGTTCGAGGGAGGGGCGGTTGGGGGAGGGAGAAACCAAAGATAGGCTCAGAGACTAATACCCCTTCTATCAAGGAATTTTCCTTCAAAACATATTAGGGTCGCTTACATGGTTTAAGGAATATTCCTTGAAATGTTGGGTGCCTGTATATGGCGCAAGGAATGATCCTTCACGAAGGAGTGTTGGAGTCTCTTGTGGCTCGGGCAAGTGGCGAGCATAGTCGGAGCGCCTGCCTCGCTCGGGGGCCGCGCGAGCCTGGATTGAATTGGGGGTTTAGGGTTTAGGGTTTAGGATTTAGGGTTTAGGGTTTAGGGTACCTTATTGGGATCCCACTATTCACGGGTCCCTTGCCTTATTTTGGAAAAAACCCCCCCCATTTAGGTGGCGTGCTTGAAGGCTCGTGAGCAGTTATGCGCACCCTAAGTCGGATTATCAGTACAGGCAAGGAAGTTCTAACCCTACCTGTAGCTACCATGGACCTCCAAGTCAACTTACCCTAAACCCTAAACCCTAAACCCTCTTAGGCCTCGGTTCGGGCTTGGGCCTTTGGGGTTCAATTTGGAGTGCTGGGAATCACGCTCTACGGTTTGGGGTTTTAAATGTTTAGGTGTCGGTGTGGTTCAGGGGTGGGACTTTGTGGTTTATGGTTTCGAAGGATTTAGTCTCCGGGTGGCTTAGGGTCTATGGATTTTGGGGGTGCGTACCGGCCGTTGGGGTGTTGAATTTGGGCTTCTTGCTTAAGGGGTCGAGGGTTAGTTGCAGTAGCTTGTTGCTGATGGCTCACGCGAACACACCTAGAGGCGGGTTGCCAGGGAGCCATTGTGAGCGAGTGTTGCGAGGAGGGGGGGCGGAGGGGGTGAGTGGGTGATGCTTGCGGACCTACACCTCAGAAGCCGAAGAAGGTTCCCAGAGCCCTAAACCCCTAAACCCTGAACCCTAAACCCTAACTTAAGCCCTAAACCCTAAACCCTAAACCCTAAACCCCAAACCCTAAACCCTAAACCCGAAACCCTAAACCCTAAACCCCGAGTTGCTGTCCAGAGGCATCCACTCCAGCAGCAGCGGCTCACTCCCTTCGGGCATCTTGGCGTTCACCGCCGAAGCCAAGGTGCAGGCGGAAGACCAGAGCCTCGTCTCTCCAGTTTCGGGGTTTGGGGTATTAGGGTTTAGGGTTTAGGGTTTAGGATTTAGGGTCTAGGGCTTAAGAGGATTTAGGGTTTAGGGTTTAGGGTTTAGGGTTTAGGGTTTAGAATTTAGGGTCTAGGGTTTAGGGTTCCTCGGATTGTGAGGGCATCTTGTTTTCGGGTTTCGGGCTTCGGGGACTAGGGTTTGCCTTCATGTGGACACGGGTGTTGTTGCCAGACCTGTGAACCCCGCGACAAGCATGAGCCTAAATAAGGCCTGAGGCTTGTCTTGGGTTTAGGGTTTTGGGTTTAGGATTCAGGGTTCAGGGTTTAGGGTCTAGGGTTTAGTGTTTAGGGCCCAGGGTTTAGGGTCTATATAGGGCGCAGGGTAGAGGGTTTAGGGCTTGGTCTTCTTCAAACAGCCCAAGCAGCAAAGCCCGCCACGGGGGCAGAGCCGCGTCCAAGTGTGCCAACTGCGGGGCCTGGGTGCAGAGGCATGTTCATGTACACACATCACGTCTTCGTACACATACGTACGATCGCCGAAAACCGGCATGGAGTAGAAAGCCTAACGCTGGCCGAAAGAAGGTAAACCCGTAAACCCATGAAGTAGGGTGTATATTCCTCGAACCCCTAAAGGACACCCAATATATACACTCACCAATAACAATAATACAAACCCTGCTTCTCATGTGAGATCACCAGCTAAAGGGAATACTATTAGTAATTGTTCCCACCCCTAAACCCTAAACCCTAAATCCCAAAACCCTAAATCCCAACACCCTAAATCCCAAAACCCCCCCATATTATATAGGGCCCAGGGGCAATGCTGGATATCGCCCGGGAAGCAGCTTCCGCGGCCACGCGGCTTGGCTGTCCGTCAGGGAGACTTGAGCAGAAAGCTCCGAAGAACCAGATGACGACTTCGATGTCTCTCGCCACCTTTAGGGTTTAGGATTTAGGGTTGAAGTGGCTGAAAAGGACACCGGTCCCTTCCACCCTTCCAGATGAGTTCTCACGCGTCCTGTCTCTGACTCACTTTGTCAAGTAAACCCTAAACCCTACACCCTGAACCCTAAACCCCAAACCCTAAACCTCACGAGGAATGGCCTCGAAAGACAGGAAGTCACCCTCCTCCTCATTAACTCCAGAGAGTAGCTCCTCCACTCTCCTCGGAGGGTTTAGGGTTTAGGGTTTAGGGTTTAGGGTTTAGGGTTTAGGGTTTAGGGTTTAGGGTTTAGGGTTTAGGGTTAAGGGTTTAGGGTTTAGGGTTTAGGGTTTAGGGTTTAGGGTTTAAAAACCCTCTGAAAATACTCCTGAATATGGCCCCTCTTATTCAACCAATAATTCAGGGAAAACTCGTAAGATGTCCCAATGGCAACATGTCTTACTAAACCAAAAATTCAGGGAATAGAAATACATATATATATATAATATCTCGAAGGCCTACCGAGTCTCCTCAGCGGCTCCCATAGCTCGGCAATCCACGTCTCCTTGGAAGTTCATGGTACTTATCAACCAACTATAGCTGCACTTATAACCATACTAGAGCACTTAAGGCAAGTGGGTTCTAAGTACAGTTATAAACAACCCTAAACCCTAAACCCTAGCCCTAAACCCGAAATCCTGAACCCTCAACCCTCAACCCTCAACCCTAAACCCTAAATACCCTAAACCCTAAAGTACACTTACACCCTAAACCCTAAATACCCTAAACCCTAAAGTACAGTGACAATTGGTTCAGAAGTACCATGAACCTCCAGGTCTGTACCATGAACCTCCAGGTCTCGGAGTTGGTCAGAAGCGCGGCCCAGGGCCGCATCGCCGCCTCGACCTCCTGGCGTGCGCGCTGCAGCATCCCCAGCGCCTCGCTGGTCCAGGAACATGGGCTTAGGGTTTAGGGTTTAGGGTTTAGGGTTTAGGGTTTAGGGTTTAGGGTTTAGGGTTTAGGGTTTAGGGTTTAGGGTTTAGGGTTTAGGGTTTAGGGTTTAGGGTTTAGGGTTAGGGTTTAGGGTTTAGTGTTCGGGGTTTAGGGTTTAGGGTTTAGGGTTCGGGGTTTACAACTAAGGGTATACACTCTTTGGGTTGGTTACTTCATAAGGGAACCTATAGGAACCAAAACAGGAGAAAGGCAGAAAGGCAAAAGGGTACCACTGGGCCGCCCAGAGGCCTCCTCGTCTTCGGGAAGTTCGGGCAGGCGCATGCAGTCCAGCAAGGTCTGGAGCAGGAGCGAGAAAAGTGTGCCGATGCTGCCGGCCTCCGCCAGGCGTTGCCGGGGCAGCTGCCAGCGGTCGTGGGCACGGCGGCTCCGCTTCTCGGGTGGGGGCTGGAAGGTAGCCACCTGGTCAGACTGAACATCAGACGTATCATGTATAAAATACGGGCCTGAATACTTAGAATAGGGTTTAGGGGGTTATTATAGTGTAATTATAGAAGGGACCATCAGAGAATACTATTCTTAATTCTTCCGACCCCTATATTATACTTCGGCTTGCAAGAACGCAAGAGGTGTCACTGCCTGCCCAGCTTCATAGGAGCTGAAGGAGTCTGCCGCACGCACGGCGGCATGGAGCGTCTCGGCGAAGGCTTGCCAAACGGAGATGGTGGTCTCAACATCGTCAAACCTTGGCCAAAGGAGCTCGATCATGGTGAGATGATACGGGTTCAAAGGGAACAGTTCATCTATAGTCACTCGACTTGCGCATAACAAAAAACACACACATCGTGCTGAGGCGCTCCTCCACACAATGAGTTCCGTCCCAAGCCTTCGCAGCCTCGCCAAGCAAGGCAAAGGCCTGCCTCGCAATGAGCTCCCAGTCGAGGTCGAGTTCGCCGACGGCGGCTCTCGGCCAGAAATCTTCAGCGAGGTCCACCAAGAGAGGCAGCAGCCACCTGTGGGAATCCTGATGCTCCAACTCCATGGAGCTGTCGCCCTCGAAGAGGCTGCCGCAGAGTGGCCCCAACAATGCCGCCGCCTCATGCGGGGCGCCGCGCCACTTCGCGAGCTGCTGCGCCACCTCCGCGCCCTCCGACTTGGCGGCGCGAGCAGCCTCGCGGAGGGGCTCCAGGTGCTGCGCCAGGGACCTCAGCGGCGCCGCCGCGTCGCCGGTGGGCAGCCAGAGCTGCGCCTTGCGCACGGCTCTGAGCCAGGCTCCCAGGATTCGCAGGTCCTGGCTGTCGGAGCTTTCCCCCAACAGGAAGCCGAAGACGGCGTCGCAGGAGCGAAAGAGCGAGGCGGCCGCGCCCTGCCGCAAGTTCCGGTCCGTCAGCGGCAGCGCCTTGGCGTCGAAGAGCAGCTCCGCCGGCAGCACCAGAAGCTCGCGCCGCACCGTCGCCTATACTGAACGTGAAACCCTAGAGCAAAAATGTTAATCTTAGCTGTTTCTTAGGAATTAAAGTACCCCAAAAAATTAAAAACAACAAAATATTTCCAAGTATCCCCAAGTGGCGGGCAGGCTGGAGTTCAGCGAGGCGGCTGCAGCCCAGGTGCCCAGCCACAGCTCCGCACAGGCCAGGGCCAAAGCCAGCTGCTTCCAGACGAGGCCCTGGCCATTGGCGTGCACTGCCTAGGATGGCCCCTAACACCCCCTGAAACAATATTCCTAGATATGGTCCTCTTAGACACAATACGCGAAAAGATGAAAGATATCCCAAAGGGCCTACCGAGCTGCGAGAAGCGACTCCAAGCAATCCCTGGCGATTCCGCGCGACTGGACGTCCGCGAACCAGCTGGGAAAGGCGCGCGAGAGCCGCGCCAGCGTCTGGGCGCAGAAGGCCTCCAGTCATGATTGCTATGATTGCAAACAAAGCAACATGTACGTCTATGTATATACACAAATGATCTAATTCTTCACTTCCTCTTGTCTTACAGCTAATTTCTATTACGGTGCATTTTAACTAGTACTCTTGACATGACTCTGATTATTCCTATTATTCTGATGACTAAACTATTTCTGACATTTGTACAAGAACTACTGCTATTCTTGTTCTACCCTAAACCCTAAACCCTAGACCCTAAACCCTAAACCCTAAACCCTAAACCCTAAACCCCAAACCCCTAAACCCTCAACCCTGAACCCTAAACCCTAATAACAGCCCATGCCTGCAGCAGCTCCTCGTCGCAGCTCTTCAGAGGCCCCATTTGGAGCTTGTCGATGCAGATCTGCCATGCGGTCAGCCCGGACTTCCTTGCTCGGAAGCCCTGTTGGGTTTAGGGTTTAGGGTTTAGGGCTTAGGGTTTAGAGGGTTTAGAGGGTTTAGAGGGCTTAGGGTTTAGGGTTTAGGGCTTAGGGCTTAGGGTTTAGGTACGTAGAGTTAGTAAGTTAGGTCATGGGTACTATTTTGGGGGGTGTCTTCGGGATACTAAGTAGACTTACTATGTCACAATGGCTTCTAAGTGGCCCAGGGTTGAGAGTTCTTAGGGCTTTAGGGTTTCAGGGTTTTAGGGCTTGGGTTCTTTGGGTTTAGGGTTTAGGCTTGAAGGTGTTTTAATGGAGTAGTCGAAAGCTGGTAGTACATGCTTATAACCCCGTTGAAGGTACTTCTTTCTAATACCCCTGAACCTCCAAGCTTGTGAGCAAAACCGAATCTAAGATTCTTCGGATAGGGCTTCCCTAAACCCTAAACCCTAATGCTCCGAGCTTCTGGAAGTCTGCGAGCCACGCGCCGGAATACAGCTCCTCCCCAGCATGGAACATAGTTACACGCCTTGGTGCCGTGGTTTAGGGTTCACGGGTTCAGAGTTTAAGGGTTTAGGGTTGGTCCAAAGCAGGGGGGGGAGGGGGGTTCAGGGTCCAGGGTTTGCGGGTTGAGGAATTAGGCTCAGAGGGTTGAAGGTTGAGGGTTTAGGGAGTTCCGTAAACCCTGAACCCTGAACCCTGAACCCTGAACCCTAAACCCTAAACCCTAAACCCTAAACCCTAAACCCCCAAACCATGAGCTCCTTAATTACACCATGTAAGCTCCCAAGCCAAGTGGCTGCTGGAGATGCTTTGCCAGCTCGGCAGGCGACGGCTGCGACACAAGCGTCTGTGACTGCGTCATGGTCCCGAACCTTGGCTCTGCCAGTCCTCTCATTTGGGGTTAGGGTTTAGGGTTGTTTAGGGTTTAGGGTTTAGGGCTTAGGGCTTAGGGTTTAGGGTTTAGGGTTTAGGGTTTAGGGTTTAGGGTTTAGGGTTTAGGTAGGGTTTAGGGTTTAGGGTTTAGGGTTTAGGGTTTAGGGTTTAGGGTTTAGGGTTTAGGGTTTAGGGTTTAGGGTTTAGGGCTCCTTTCGAATCCTTCGCTATGCCAGAAAGGTTTCACCAAGTTGCCAACTTCTCAAGAGCATCCAAGGGACTGCCAGGGCAGTAGGGGCCGCGAAGGACCAAAAGTTGGCAAAATTTAGATCTTGAGGCTGAGTGAGCTGCACAGCGCACTTGACATATGGGTACTGAGTAGGGAGTGGGGGAATTCGGTACGCTATAGAATTCCTTAAAGGGTGTATATAGATATATAAGTATGCAAAGGGATATAGGGTACCTATATAATTCCCTCATTTCCTACTGGAGAACCAACAGGTTGTTGCAAACCTGGAGCATGCAACTCTCTCCATGCCCCCTCACCTCTGCGGCCTTCTTCCTCGCTACGAAAGGCAACCGGGTTTGGGGCACAAAAGAGTTCGATCACCTGACTTTGAAGTCGTAGATGTCCTCTGCACTCTAAGGCTCTTTAACGAAACGCTTCGCCGACAGATGCTGCCGATACCACCACGCCTCAACCCTGTATATCGAAAATGTTTGTCCCTCAGACCCCTTTAACGAAAGGTGTGGCCCCAAAGGCCTAATTGACCCTATGGACTGAGCATAATGTGCCTCAGACCCCTCTCAACCCTAAACCCTAAACCTTAAATCCTAAACCCTAAACCCTAAACCCGCAACCCTCAACCCTCAACCAGAACCTTGTGGTCTCCAAGAGCAGTTCCGCGCGCTGAGAGTCCACCTCCTTTCGCACCTCCCATCCAAGGGATGAAACAAGGAGGGTTGGGGGGCGCCCTAAACCCTAAACCCTAAACGGATTAGGGCCCATAGATATGTAACATTATGCCCAAACCCATTGCCAGCATGACGGGGCCCAGGGCTTCGATACGTCTACTTAGATACAGGGGTATGTAAGGTGTGTGTGTATATATATGTACAGATATGTTATGGTTTTCAAGAAACAGGGCACCCTTTTGAGGGGGTGGGGGCCGGTAACAAGGACTATGGTGTTTTGAGGGGCTGACTATGGGTACCCTAAATTGGGAAATGCCCAGAATTATGCCTATGTATATGTGTATGTATATAGATATATGTATATATATATATATATGCACTTGTACCCCTAGGGGTAATTTGGGTGCACCGTAGGATTACATAAGGATCCCCTCCAATCCCAGGGCTTGGGGACTGAGAACATGTTGAATGCTTATTCTCGGACCCCCCAAAACGGTACCCTTATTCTTGGCAACCCCCTTGTACCCGAAACCCTAAGCCCCAAACCCGAAACCATAAACCCCAAACCCCAAACCCGAAAACCGCACGGCTTTAGGGCTCCCAGACCCACCGGCTCCAATACCCCTTTTCAAAATTAAGAGGGTAGGGTGTTTAGGGTTTCGGGTTTAGGGTTTGAATTTTCCTGAAACCATAAGGAACCCCCTTATACGTTGATTAAGGAATATTCCGTAAACCATCTTTGCAAGGAAACCTCTGATTCCGCAAACCACATATAGGGAAACCTCTTACTTTCAGGAACATTCCTCAACTAAGGGGTACTGGAGTCCCTGAAAATCCGGCCCGTGTATTTACGGTACCAAAAATGAACCATCAACTTGGAGAAGAGCCAGAAGAGCCCAAAAAGGGTCCGAGCGCAGCTTTCAAACCCGACGCCGCGACGCCTGAAGCCCAAGTCAACTCTCCAAGGGGTTTAGGGTTTAGGGCTTAAGGCTTAGGGTTTAGGGTTTAGGGTTTAGGGTACTTGAAACCACACCTGTAGACGCGAAGTGAGTGTCCATGGAGATTCGAGTTTCGAGCTTAGGTCCAGGGATAGAAGGACGGACCCTCGGAAGGGACCCTTGAGCTTGTTCCCCGACACAAGCCCTATACCTAAGTTGCCCCTACATGGTTTAGGGTTTAGGGTTTAGGGTTTAGGGTCTAGGGTTTAGGGTTTAGGGTTTAGGGTTTAGGGTTTAGGGTTTAGGGTTTAGGGTTTAGGGTAAACCCTAAAAACCCTTAGAAGGGTCCCTCCTTTAGTCCCTTGATTAGGCTGTTTTGGAGCTCGGGAAAAACCCGAAGCCTAAACTTGAAACAACCCTAAACCCTAAACCCTGAACCCTAAACCCTGAATCCTAAACCCCCCCCCCCCCCCCCAAAAAAAATGCCGTGGACCGCCTCTGCCTTCACGTCAATAGCCTTAGCACGGCTTGAGAAATGTGACTTCAGGGGTTTAGGGTTCAGGATTTAGGGTTTAGGATTTAGGGTTTAGAGTAAAAGGTCTTGGGGTTCGGGTTTCGAGAGACAGTTTAGGGTGTGGGGCTTATGGTTTAGTGTTTCGGGCTTAGGGTTTAGTGTTTAGGGTTTGGTGCCTCAAGGCTTATAGCAGGGTATGCGGTTTAGAGCTTAGGGTACGGGATCCAGGTCTCATGAAAGAAGCTCAACGCCTTGCCACGCGAGGCTCTCTGATTTGTAGGGCGCAACCCTCAACCCCACGGTAAACCCTCGACCCCATGCCAACCCCAATAAGCAAACAAACCCCTTGCTAAAGAATTAAACTAATCCTAAACCCTATAAACCCTAACCCTAAACCCTAAACCCTAAATCCACAAGCTTACAGGCCTGAAAGCCCTCAAACCCCAGCAGCCCCTGCAAACACTTCGAAAAGCCCTTAAGAACCCTTGCAAAGCACCAAGCCCCTCGACAAACCCCCCCAAAAAGACTGAAGAGCCCAAAAAACCCTAAACCCTAAACCCTAAACCCTAAACCCTAAACCCTAAACCCTAAACCCTAAACCCTAAACCCTAAACCCTAAACCCTATAAACCCTAAACCCCTAAACCCTGCCAAAAAAAACAAACTACTAGGGAACCCTCGGTGCGCCCCATGTCGGCCCACTGGGCTCTCCACCGACGGGCTGGCGATGGTGGGCGGGGAGCCTCCTGCCATGGGCTTGGGTTGGGGGTTGGGGGTGGTGAGTCCTAGGGTTTAGGGTTTAGGGTTTAGGGTTTAGGGTTTAGGGTTTAGGGCTTAGGGTTGTTGGGGGGTTCGGGGTGGTGAGTTTTTAAGGCTAGTTACCCTAAACTAGGTTCTGCGGCTTGCCGGTTGAAGGGCTGAGGTGATTCGGAGGTTTGGGGAAAGTTTGGAGTCATGGTTTGTTGAGGGCACTTAGCTCAGAAACCCTACAAGCCCTAAACCCTAAACCCTAAACCCTAAACCCTAAACCCTAAACCCTAAACCCTAAACCCTAAACCCTAAACCCTAAACCCTAAACCCTAAACCCTAAACCCTAAACCCTAAACCCTAAACCCTAAACCCGAGCCCTAAACCCTAAACCCTAAACCCCAATTTGGAGGTACCCTCAGACCCTTTCAGCCTCAACCCTGAACCGCGAAACCGAAGAGAAGAGCCGAAAGCCGAAGTTGGGAACCAGAAGCTGCCCGGGCGCCCGTTTAGGGTTTAGGGTTTAGGGTTTAGGGTTTAGGGTTTAGGGTTTAGGGTTCAGGGTTTAGGGTTTAGGGTTTAGGGTTTAGGGTTTAGGGTTTAGGGTTTGGGGTGTAGGGTTTAGAGTTTAGGGTTTAGGGTTTCAGGTTCAGGGTTTAGGGTTTTCGAGGGTTTTGGGTTCAGGGCTCTGTAAACTACACACCCCTATATCTTGAGTCCCGTCGGCCCAATAGCGGCTAGCGGTTGCTTGTCAAATTCCTAAACCCTATAAACCCTATAAACCCTATAAACCCTATAAACCCTATAAACCCTATAAACCCTATAAACCCTATAAACCCTATAAACCCTATAAACCCTATAAACCCTATAAACCCTATAAACCCTATAAACCCTATAACCCTATAAACCCTATAAACCCTATAAACCCTATAAACCCTATAAACCCTATAAACCCTATAAACCCTATAAACCCTATAAACCCTATAAACCCTATAAACCCTATAAACCCTATAAACCCTATAAACCCTAAACCCTAAACCCTGTCAAATTCCTAAACCCTAAACCCTAAACCCTAAACCCTCTAAACCCTAAACCCTATAAACCCTATAAACCCTAAAAACCCTATAAACCCTATAAACCCTATAAACCCTAAACCCCCACCATGGCCTCCTCCGCCCTCCCCGGCCCGTGCGGCAGTGGCCTCGAAGGAACAAATCAGCGAACAAGACTCTCAGGATTGTAGCGGTTTAGGGTTTAGGGTTTAGGGTTTATTTAGGGTTTAGGGTTTAGGGTTTAGGGTTTAGGGTTTAGGGTTTAGGGTTTAGGGTTTAGGGTTTAGGGTTTAGGGTTTAGGGTTTAGGGTTTAGGTAGGAATGTGGCGGTTTAGGGACTCGGAAGCCCCTGTTGACTTAGTAAGTAGGGTTAGTAAGTTGGGACGGATAATTGAAGGGTTTCTAGGGGATGCTAAGCAGACATATGAGCTTCATCAGGATTTGGGGTTTCGGGTTTATGTCGTTTAGGGTATAGGGCTTTGGGGGTTTACGGTTTAGGGTTTAGGCTTTAGGGATTAGGGCTCAGGGGTTTAGGGTTTAGGGCTTGGGGTTTTAGGGTTTAGGGTTTAGGATCATGGTTCATGGCATACGTTTTGGATCTGTCAAAGCTCACTTGGAGCTTATAAGTACGGCTATACGCATCCTAAAGGGGCCCATATAAGTAGTATATTGTGGTTCCGCTGATAACAACCCTACTTATAACTACCCACAAACCTCCCAACATCACCCGGGCCCAAAAAAGCCTAAACCCTAAACCCTAAACCCTAAACCCTAAACCCTAAACCCTAAACCCTAAACCCTAAACCCCTTGAATTCCAAGGCCA